CATTAGTCCATGTTAGTGTGCCAGTTAACCACATACGCTCCACTAACGACTTTGAGAATGCAAATATCACAATTGCTATCTGCTTAAAATCTACTTAGTGAAAGCGTTTCCTCACCATCATTTTCATGAATCGAAGAGAAACCTTATGACACTTTGATTTTATGGTGTATGTGTTCCTATCCATGTGAATTTGTCATAACCATAATCACAAGACAAGGTTAGTGACAAATTCAAACTCATATGGACTGAACTTGTTCAATCTTAATTTCTTGCCACCTGGAAGCACAAGGGCCTACCATTGCTTCCAAGTTGTTATGCACACAATTGAGAACTCATAGAACTCACATACATGGTCAACTTGAACTGGAATGGGCACCAAAATAAGAATATGTCAACACGATAGGTTACAAACCTCAAGTTGTGTGCTAGTGATAAACTGCAGGTGTTATTCTTGATTAGTTCTTGAAACTCTTTCAGGATCTTTAAGACTCCCACTGTCCTCTTGACATATAAGACTCTCTTGCCAAGAACCATTCCTTGACAAACAAATATTCAAGAGATAGTGCGGATTCTTATCAAGACAAACACTTCACACAATTGGTCACATTTGGTCTTTGTCTTATCCAAGACATCACAACTTGCCAATTTCAAATGTACAAGAGTAGAAAACATTTTACTCTACATTTTACAAGTGTTTTAAACATTTCCTTATGTCACTCAAGGTTACAATTTTGGAGTATCACTCTAAGAATTGTTTTGGAACGAAGTATGACTCATCTTCTTGATTTAACCATTTCAACAATTCATGACTCCTTTTCTTAGTCATAAGAATGCACTAAGATGTTCTTAGAGGATCAATTGTAATATGGTTTCCCATAATCATTAAGATGATCATAAAACTAAAGTACTCTCCCATCTTTTCAGATTGAAGAAACTTTTATCTTTCTGCCTAATTTGATTCTTCTCATTCGTTCTGCCATACATTGAAACTTTTCCAATGTTTTAGAATTATACTTAAACTTGTAAGTATAACCATATTTACTAAACTTTAGTAAATCATGACGAATAACCTTATCGATCTTTGTGGTGGACCTGACCAGTACACAACCAACTGTACCTGATCCCCTTGTCCTTCACTTGACTCACATATACATATGAACAAGGAATCAATCTTAATTTCCCAAAGACGAAAGGTTCTCATTCATCATACAATACCAGTTGCATGATTCCAAGTTTCTATCCAATTGAAGCTTGGGTGATGAGAATCTTTCCTTATTTGGTAAATTATGACACTACCACGAAGGAATCAAATTCATTCTCCAATATTGCTATTAATTGAATCATATAAACAACAATTTTTCATAAATGCCATTGTAAGGCAACTTAAAACAAATAAAATCAAAAAATTTTCTTTTATTTTAAAACTTGCAGAAAACTTATCCTTACAATGTCTTTACAAATGAAAAACATGTTGTTATCTATTCCTAAGCAATTTATCATAACTCTTAAGCAGCAACTCAAATTCTGATCTTCGAACCATGTGATCGAAATTCATCTTCGCGATCATAATTGGCTTACTCTTCTTTGAAGCTTCCTCTCTTTTCCTTTGATTCTACAAAACATCAAAATGTGACCTAGTCGCATCATGTATTAAGATTCTCCAAATAGGAACTTAATTGAGTTAGATAGTGGACTTTACCTGAAATAGAGTCAAAAACTTTTGGCTTTACTATCCTTATGATCTTTCAGGTAAACAGGGCAGCTTCGCAACCAATGCCCCTTCTTTTGGCAAAAGAAATATATGGACTCTTTGGAAATGATACATGAGACTATCTCAGACTTAGCCTTTCTCTTTACCATTGGGTCAAATGACTTAACATTATGGAGAGACTCGACGAGTTGAGGGTCCAACTCGCCGAGTCAAGTCGAGATATTCGCAGGGAATTAATGAGTGGACTCGACGAGTCGGGAAACTGACTCGCCGAGTAAATATTGGGCAGAGAAACCCTAATTTCCCGGGGTTGGGGCGTATATAAGGAAACTTATGCCCCATTTCCGCCTCATCAGTTACCCTACACCCCTGATAACAAACCCTAATTTCTATTTGAAGCTAGAGAGTGAGAGAAAAGCTCATTTTGAGGTTCTTGTGCATTATTTGAGGAAGAATAGGAGGTTATCAAGCAAGGAGCTGGAGGAGAGGCTGTTGGGTCCAGTGATTTCCTGTCCAGAGCTCTTGAGGAAGGTATGAAAGTCTTCACCTTTCCTCTTATTTTGGATAGATCTCATATCTATGGAGTTTTAGGGCTTTTTCCCATCTTTTGTTTGGGTCCTTGAGTAGCATGAGTTATCAAGAAGTCTAGACCTCAGATCTGGACCTTGTGAGGTCCCTAGAGTCTAGATGTCCCAGCTTTATTCATCCATATGAGGGTTTTTGGGCTTAATCATTCATAAAGGGCGTGTATTGGCATTTTGGAGTAAATACATCATGCATGAACGTAAAGATCGAAGCTTTACGTGATTATTGAGCCTTGTGATAACAGATCTAGTGTTGGGAGTGATAGATATGTTTTAAATCGTTTGAATGAGCAATGGGTCTGAATGAACTCGTCGAGTCGATGAGCCGACTCGACGAGTTGGTTAGGGTTTGTCCCAGAGAGCTGAATCATGCAATAGCTCGGCGAGTTGGGGGTCAACTCGACGAGCTGAGCTAGACTTCCACGAGACGTCAGAGGAAATGAATGGACTCGACGAGTCACAAGGGTGCACTAGGCGAGTCGGATCAAACATGGACTGTTGACTCGAGTTTGACTTCTGTTGACTTTAGGGTTTGGTCAACATGAGTAATGGAGACTATGGAGGGGTAAAATGGTCTTATACCCAATTCGAGAGTTAGAGAGAAAAGGATAAAATGTGGTTACTTAGAGTCGAGAATTGAGTATTAATTAGATATATTTACCCTATGTTTTAGGCGATGGCTAGTTCGAGGATATTTGCTTGCTTGTTCGCAAGGTGAGTCTTCTCACTATACTTACCATGAGTGGTATTTTGTGTGAATGAGATGTCTTATGTGTTTATATTGTGTATTGTAATATCCTGCATTATTCTTTGTGATTTATGCTGTATATTACTCAGATCCATCAGAGTTAGGACCGGAGGGTCCATCAGAGTACGAGACCGGAGGGTCCTCACTTAGACCGGACCGGAGGGTCCAACGAGTAGTGATACCGGAAGGTTCTCACTTAGACCGGACCGGAGGGTCCAACGAGCTGTGGGACTGGAGGGTCCCACTGAGACACATTGACCGAAGGGTCTTCCAGAGATATAGCCTCGAGTGGCTAATTATTTGTGTATGGTATTTTGGGGAACTCACTAAGCTTCGTGCTTACCGTGTTATGTGTTTCAGGTTTTCTCTGGATCGCGGGAAGGCACCGGCTTGATTGTACACAACAGAGAAAAAGCTATGTTTTGAGGATCCTGGATTATCAATCAAACAATTATGGAGTTGTGTTTTATAAAATTAAATAAATGAGTTTTTTGTGAAATGTGTTATGAGAATTATATGATTTTAAAAATGAAAAATTTATTCAAAAATTTACGGTGTTACATTAGTTGTCTTGAATTTATTAGGTAATACCTAATGAAGAGGATCTACAATGTGATGAAAGTGATGGCTAAAGCTATAACCCACTTCCTCTAATAGCAACAAAGTTACTTAAAAGAAACTATAAGCTTCATCTAAGTATACGACAAGGTGGAATGAGACTTTAAAGTTTGAGGTTTATGGACCATGGCATGAACAACATGTGGTTGACATGAAGGAGACGAAATGTTCTTGTAGAAGGTGAGAGTTGAATGGTATTCCCTGCAAACATGCAATAGCTACAATAAATGAACTAAATGATAGTGGCGAGAAAGTTGGAGAGCTTTACACTTATGTCAACAAAGTGTACTTTCTCGACACTTGGAAGGAGGCTTATTCTAACAATGTGGGCCTCATAAAGGGGTATGTTGCCAAAAAAAATGCACGCCCCTTCAAATTAACACCACCATCACATCACACTCAACCTGGTAGACCAAATACTAAGAGGAGACGTAGTATAGATAAAAGGAGCCAAAGCCATGGTCAATTTCGAACTTAAAGACTAACCAAAAAATTTATCAGTGTTAGGTGTGGGAAATGTAACAACATGGGTCATAACTCTAGGACCTGTAAGGGTTAATGGGGTGGCAGTCAAGGTGAGAATTAGTTATGGTTGTATGCAGCCCTTATCTTTTGGTCAATTTTTTCAATAATTGATGTTTATTAATGTCTTAGGAACTTATCTTCTGGTTATTAGTTATGCCTGTATGCATCCCTAGACAATTCATATTGGGTATTTTTTTGGTTATTTCTGTGTTTGTCAACTGTTTTATTGGGATGGTATTCCTAAACTAGCATTCTACTTTTACTTATGGTTTGCAAGTTTTGTTAACAACCGTCTATTAACTTTGTTTTGGTACCATATGTTCAAAATGTTTGCAATTGTAGTAATAGCATTCTACTTTTTGTATATTGGTGCTTTGTATGGTTTAAAAATCAGTTACCATCCGTTTTAATAGTATCTCTTCAAATTAATTATGTTCAAAATTTATGCAAGAAAGTTACATTAAGTAAAATGCATATGTATGGTCAAACATTCTTAATATTATGCAAAAATGGTCCCTATAATATCGTGCAAAAATAGTCCCTGTAATATTTTAAAATATTGTGCAAAAATTGTCTCTATGACTTAGCAAGACGCATTTATCCATGTGGTTTTTGCCCTCTAACGTGCACCATTAATGAGTGTTAGCTAAAGGGACCAACATCACTAATAAGTTCTAATTTTGGCCATTTATGTATTATCACGAAACAATTTTAGACAAAAAAAAACACATAATTTTGACAACTAGACCAATTTTGCAATTTTGTCGTTTTCATATATATGATAAAAGCATTTATTTACTTTGAAAAGTTTATGAAAATAAATAGTTTGGGCTTTAGCCGGTAGTCCAACTACCCAATCATTTGGGCTTTCCCGTTTCACGGAATAGCTTTTCCGATGACTATCCGACCGGTTTCGTTCATTCTTTCACGATTTTCAAAGCCGAAAGCGGAAAAGAAGCAAACATAAAGCAAATCCACCAAGCTGTATTTGCAGAAGGATCAAGGCAATAGCTACAGAGTAAAGCAATGGCAGCACTTCCAACAAGGAGAAGACGTCCGTCGGAATACGATCGTTTGTTGCCTTCAACATCGGCCGATGCGGATGGTTATACGAAGGTAGACAAGCCAGCGGAGAAACCGGGGGTTGAGGTGGATAAAGGTCTGTCATGGACATTTCCTATATTTGCCCTAGGGATATTAAGGTATTTGAGTGCAACTACGAATATCGTTCATGACTGTGATGAAGTGTTCAATTATTGGGAGCCTCTTCATTTCCTCCTTTACAAATCAGGTTTTCAGACTTGGGAGTACAGGTATTCTCCATTCATTTCTCATTATTCGTTACCTGTTTTTTTATCTTGTTATGTTTTAATCTAGTCTCGAGTCATATGATCATCATAATCCCTGAATTTTTCTTTGTTGGACATGTTAGAAGTACGAACTAAGGATTATACCAAATTTACACACTCTGAGAATTCGAACTAAGATCTAATAAGCGCAGATAACTTAATAACTACATCTTAATATGAATCTACCATTTGACTGAAATTAAAGAGCCTGATTTTGTTTCTGTCTTACATAGCAAATTCAGAATAAGTTCTTTCACAATACAACAAAAAATCACCATTGAAATAAGCAATTTGGAAAGTGTTTGTGCTAATTGTTCGCCTTAGTAATTATGTTGATGAATTGTTTCAGCCATGATTTCTTAACTCTGAGATAAATTATATGTTAATTGCAGTTCTCAGTTTGCATTGCGTTCATACCTCTACATTCTGTTTCATTACATGGTGGGTTGGCCAGCTTCACAGATGTATAATTGGCTAGATGAGGAAAAAGTAATACAATTCAACACTTTCTACAATCATTCCATTTATAATCTTGTTAATTTCTACTTCCATTAACATAATCAATCTAATGATTTCTTCATCACATTTCAGGTAAGAGTATTCTATGCTGTGAGAATCTTTCTTGGCCTTCTTTCTGTCATATCTGAAGCTGCTTTAGTAGTAGCACTTTCTAGAAAGTATGGGAAACGCCTTGCTTGTTACACACTCTCCCTCTTATGCTTAACAAGTGGTTGCTTTTTTGCTAGCACAAGTAAGTTCCCAAATGCAAGAATTAGCAAAATCTAATAATTCCCTTTTCATATTAAATCTTTTTCATAACTTTTACAGGTTTTTTGCCAAGTTCTTTTTCTATGTATGCAATTTCTCTCTCTTCAGCATTGTTTCTTTTTGGGATGCATGCCATGGCTGTGGCTGTTGCAGCAACTGGAGTTATTCTTGGTTGGCCATTTTCAGTCCTTGCTTTTCTTCCAGTAACAGTCTACTCTCTACTTCGAAAATTCAAAAGGGCGTTTATATCAGGGGCGTTTACGTCAATTACTCTTTTGGTACGTAATCTTTTATAAAAAAGTTGTTTCTAAATTCTAACTTTCTGTTTTCTAATCACTTGTTATGTTTTTGTTTCAGATAATTTCGGTAGTTGTGGATTATTATTACTATGGGAAATGGACATCTTCTGTTATGAATCTGTTGGTGTATAATGTTTTAGGAGGTGGAGAGAGTCATTTATATGGAACTGAAGGGGCTTTATTTTACTTGAAGAATGGATTTAATAACTTCAATTTTGCTCTTGTTTTTGCAATGATGTTTGTGGTTCTTCTGCCATTTACAAAGAAGAAATTCGCCCCTGATATGGTGATTGTTGTGTCTCCTGTTTATATTTGGCTGGCTTTCATGTCTCTACAACCCCACAAAGAAGAAAGGTCAGTCAGATTGATTCAAGCAAAATGACTATTTTGCCCCTATCTTCATCTACCTTAATGCAAATCGTGAAATTGTTCTTCATCTCTTTCTTCTTAAACCCTACAATCAGACCAAATTCAAGCAAAACACAAAATGTTTGATTTGTTGCATGAATGGTCCTTAAAATGTAGTTTACTTGCATATTTGGTCCCTGGAATTTACGGTGTTAAAACACAGATGTTAAGTCCAAAAGTAAAATGACTAATTTGCCCTCATCTTCATCCTCTATATCATTTTCAATTCAAACCCTGAAAATGTTCTTCATGTCTTTCATCTTAAACCCTAAAATTAAACCAAAACCTTAAAAAGACAGATGTTAAGTCCAAAAGTAAAATGACCAATTTGCCCTCATCTTCATCCTCTATATCATCTTTAATTCAAACCCTGAAAATTTTATTCATGTCTTTCATCTTAAACCCTAAAATCAAACCAAAACCTTAAAATCAAACGAAACATAACCAAAACACATAAAAAAAAATCAAACCAATAACACGATTTATTTATTTATTTATTTATAATAAATTTCAGGTTTCTTTATCCTATATACCCTCTTATATGTGTTGCGGCTGCAGCTGTTATTGAGAGTATTCCTGATTTCTTTTTTGATCGTTATAGAACTGAACAATCTTTTCTCCACAACGTAAGTTTAATTTTTTTTTTTAATAAATCATCATTTAACAATCTTATTTATTTCTCTTATTAAAACTTATAATTAACTTTTTTTTTTTTTTAATCTACAGATGGCTAAATACTTGAGACCATTACTTATTGGTCTGATTCTATGTGTTTCTCACTCTAGAACATTCTCTATCATAAATGGTTATGCCGCTCCTTTAGAGATTTACAAACACTTTCAACATCATGATGATGCTGGAACAGGTATAACAAAAATACCATAATTTTAAAATTATTTCTTGTTGACAATGTTTTAATAACAAGAAAATAAATAAATAAAAAAGTAAATTGGTATTGTGTGTGTAATGCAAGGTGCGACTGTGTGTGTGGGAAGTGAGTGGCATCGATTTCCGTCTTCTTTTTTTATCCCGGATTACGTGGGTGAAGTTAGGTGGATTGATGATGGCTTCAATGGCCTTCTTCCTTTCCCTTTTAATTCAACTTTAGGTGGAACCAAAGCATCACCTCCATATTTCAATAATAAAAACAAAGCGTCACATGATCAATTCGTAAGCCTCTCATCAATTCTCACCCCAAATTTATCAAAACAAAATACATTTTTTTTTCTTTTTTAAAAAATATAATAAAAATCTATTCACAGCTTCAAGATGTCGAAAAGTGTGATTTCCTTGTTGAGCTTCAACTCCAACGACCCTTTCCTTCTCGTGGAAGCGACTTATCCAAATGGGAGGTACTCTCTCTTTCTCTCTCTCACACACATACAGTAATTTTTGTGAGAAATTAGTTAATGATTGTGTGTGTGTGGTGTGTGTAGGTGGTGGCTGCGTTACCATATTTGGATAGGGAACTATCACCGGCTTTACACAGATCGTTTTTCATACCGTATGTGTGGGAGGAGAAAAATGTGTTTGGGATGTATAAGTTGTTGAAGAGACATAAATAAATAAATAAATATTAAAGAGAGAGAAACAATAGCCACTTGTTAGATTCACTAGTTTTAGGGTTGATGATTCATGATTGACCTTCTTTTTCAAGTATTAGGGATTTCTTTCTTTTATAAAACTTTGTTGGGTTATTATCACATGATTAGACTGGTTCATATTTTTTCTATTGGTTTTTTGTGTTAACAAATTAAGTTATTTAGTATATTTTAGATCTATAACTACCATCAAAGTTCGTAAATTATTGGTACTGTTTGACTCGGAATGCTTTTTATCCAATTTGTTTTTGTTTTTATAAACAATTAGGGCCTGTTTGGTTCATAGATCAAAAAAAGAGAAATTTCATTAAATAACCAAATCTTAAGGGGTCTTTTAAGTATTTAGCCACAAAATTTTGAGTTTTGTAAAATGACCACCAGATCCGCAGAGGGGGCTCTGCGGATCGCTTAATGCCTCTGAGGAACGTAACAAACCTCTGTGGAAATGAGGTGACAGCACTAAAAGACAAAATTTTTTGGAGGTTTTTAAGGTTCTGTAAAGAGGTCTCTACAGATATGTGAACACCTTTGTGGATCGCTTAATGTCTATGAGGAATAGGTAAATACTTAAAAACCCCAAAAAAATTGTTCATACCCATTCCTCAGAGACATTAAGCGATCCATAGAGACACCTCTGCGGAACCTTAACATCTATTTCAATATTTAAATATTTAAATAGCCTCAACATCTATTTCAATATTTAAATAGATATATTCAGTCCGAGTATAAGATTACCAATGAATCCATGCCAATTGCATCCGCACGTAGAGTGTTTGTTTGAAATGGATTAATTCGATCTTATCGGAGTGAATCAAAATTAAATTTGATTTTCAGAATAATCCAAACTAAACTAAAATCTAATCCGAACAAACCAAATTTTAATTCTTTTAGATTGGATTTCACAATTCGGTTCATGTTTTTTTAAACATATAGTTCTAAGAATCGAAACATTCATGAGAAAAAACAACAAAACTTAAGCTCTCAAGTTGGGATGGCAATCGTGTAATGTTTGAGTTGGGAGGTTGTGGGTTGACGGGTCAAAAAACTCAACTCAATCACAACCCCATATAAATATTCATGTCTTCTTGCTTAACCCTAACCCGGATAAGATAAACCATGACACGACCCATATAACCCGTTTAACTATACGGGTTCGTGTGTTTTTAGGTCCAGTCCGAGTTCGTAGGTCAGAATCGGGTTCGTGGATCATAGGGAATGTCTAAATATCACATATTTACTCATTAGTCGTTATGCTCTCATTTATTTAATAAATACATTTTTTTAATCTAATAAAATAAACGGATCCACAGGTCAACTCGCAAAATTACTTGCAAACTTGAACATGAACCGTATAGTAAATGGGTTGGCAGGTTTGGTAGTTGCATTGGATGGCTAGCTCTTTATAAATTATTGGAGAAATATTGGACCTAATATAGTTGATGACTTGTCCAAGTAGGAGACTGTTGGAAAAAGTGTCAAATGTCATTAACTATTGATAATATTTTTAATAATAACACGCAGGGACGGACGCAGGAATACATGGTAGGTGTTACCGGGATGAATAGGTGTTGCCGATACATGAAAAATAGGTAGAAAAAACTGAAAAATCAAATTTTTTTTACTACGGCCAGAAAAGTTAGGGGTTGCCGGTGCCACGCCGGGAACCCCTTAGAATCGTCCTTGATAACACGGTCCTTTTGGGTTGCCCTCAAGACCCAAATTGAGTAGAATAAATAATGGAGAAATTGGTTTATTAATTATTATGGTTAATAATTAATTAGAAAAATATTTTGGGAATTAATTAACAGTTTAATTAATCAAAGGTTTGAATATTCAATTAATCAATAGTTGGTTGATCAGGAATATTCCAGAACCCTTATGGAATTAGGGTTGGATGAAAATCACTCCATCCCACATGGGATAAGGAGTGGATTTTGTTCTAGGTATTCCATCCTACATGGGAATGAGTACAAAACCTAAGAAGGGATCCAAGACTATAAATATGGCCTTAGGGATTTCATTATTCCTGTTACATTGGCTTGAAGTTTCACCAACTCTTCTTCCTCCTCCCATAGGGATGATTTCTAACCATCTTAGGGTTTGTGAAATTGACCATTCTCCTAGTTATTTTTATTCCACTCTTTGGTGTCATCGGGTGTGATACCATTAGAGGGATTATGGTTTGGGTCCTCTCATCCAAGCAACTTTATGGAGGATCAAGACCTCAAACATGGAGATCAAGAGCTACATAAGAGATATGTTTTTCTTCTTTGTATTTTCGTTTTCTAGGATAGATGTAATTAGTATGGGCATAGATCCATAGGTTGCATGTACACTTAGGTATATCGTAGTTTCGATTTTTCCGCTGCCTAGTTTAGAGTGTATTTGATGCATAGAAAACCCAACAAATGCTAGATCCAAGCTTGTTCCTTGTTCCCTTGCACCAAGATGAACCTCTCCTTTCCCCAAGCTTCACCAAAATCCAAAGAATAAGCTATAAATCATGAAATCAAGCCCTCAATCAAGCATGAAGGTTAGGATTTCATTTGGAAGGGTTGGAGGCTGAAGAGGATGCCATAAACCTTGAGTTTAGGTGCTTAAATATGGAAGAAACCCTAAAAATATGAGCTTAGGCTTCAACAGCTGCCACGTCGTGGCACCCCTCCTTGCGACATCATGTCGGCCATCAGATGCGCGATCCAGGCATTTTCCATGCCACGTCATGGTATCCCATTCACCATGTCATGACACAAGGCTTTTCTCCAAAACCTTACTTTTAATCCCTCAAGCCCTCAACCGATCTATCCTGAAAAATAGGTGTTATAGTCGTGCCTTCTTGATAGGACGAAGATTGGGTCTTTAATGAGGTGGTTAGCGGTTGGGATCATTAATTGCTGGTAACTAGCCCTTTTTAATTCGTTAGGTTTATGCTATTTTCTCGTTATCTTTGGATAGTCGTAATTTTCTCATACAAGTTACATTTTCGATGCTTTTTATATTCATGGTTTCGTATTCACGTCTACTACAATTTTCATTTACATTACTTTGGCTAAAAAGTAATATAATTTATATTTTTATATATGAAAATTGTAAAGTGATTACCTTAAACTCATAGGTATAACCAACATCCTCACTATCCATATCTTTTTATAGTGTTTTCTCATTACTAATAAGACACTTTAACTCAGTTATACAAATATCAACAGGATCCTTGACCATACAAAGAAGGCCCTTGAACTTTGAAAGATGTAAATGATCCTCTTAATGTCTTAAGAAGTATGTTTGTGTTGTCTTGTATATAACCCTCGTATATTACCTTTTAAATACATTTACTTTGACTTTAATTTCATATTAGTACAATATACCATTATCAATTTCTACAGACCGAACTTGTTGGTATCCAAATAAGTTGATACCAAATATATTTGATACAACACTCATAACCAAATTCATATACACTTATGGTTGATACAATATAGTTTGTGAAAAAAATACATGATATTGTGTCATGTTCACCCTACAATGCACCTCATTTATTTTCATTTTAGTATTTATCAATCCGAACATTTACCATTACATCTATGGAAATGGCCAAAAGAAAAGTTGGAAGAAGAAAATATAATTCATGGCCATATTTATATTTCTAAGGGATTCGTGCCTGAAATAGAAAAAAGGTAAAGTTTTGTGGTCAAAATGAATTTCCCCCAAATTTATTACACACACATAAAAAACCAGTCCACCGAGAATCTCTCCGCTTTCCACTCATTTAGACAAAGTAGAGAGAGAAATTAGTCGGTGTGCTTGAGATCGGCGGCCATGGCTTCTTCAACAGAACGTGAAAACTTCATCTATGTCGCCAAGCTTGCCGAGCAAGCCGAACGCTACGACGGTGATAACCTTTCTTGCTCTTTCCTTTTCTAGATCCGTTGTTTTAATGCCGATTTCGTATTTTGTCATCTAAATCTGATGTATACATGCTGCCTACTTCGTAATCTAATTGGGGAAGTTTCGATTCTTAGCAAATTTGGTTGATGATTGGAGATTTTAATTAGGTTACACAATCTATAAGCAAGTTCTGTATACTACATTGGAGGACTTAACTCCTAAGTATTCTCATTAGATCTGTTCAAAAGTACATCGATAAGGTAGAGAAACTAGCATCTAGTGCTCAGTGGTTTAAAAGTGACATATAATGAAGTAATGAGAGTTTAGAGAAAAAACACGAATTGCTATCTTAAGCGATGTGAGCTATTAGATAAGGAAGCTAATCAATTGTTTGTGCTAAATTGTATAATCATACATCTTAATCCATATAGTGTACATTTTGAACATATAGAACTTCTAATTTATACTTTTTTTCTTGCATCTAATCTTGTTAATGGTTTTGATACAGAAATGGTGGATGCTATGAAGAAGGTAGCAAAGTTGGATGTTGAACTAACTGTTGAAGAAAGGAACTTGCTCTCAGTTGGGTACAAGAATGTTGTGGGGTCACGAAGGGCATCATGGAGAATTTTGTCTTCAATTGAACAAAAAGAGGAATCAAGAGGCAATGAAGTGAATGTAAAACGGATTAAGGAATACAGACAAAAAGTTGAAACAGAGTTATCTGACATTTGTAGTGATATCATGGTTGTGATTGATGAACATCTCATTCCATCTTCTTCTGCTGGTGAATCCACCGTTTTCTACTACAAAATGTAAGCATAAATATAATATAATATAATAAATATATAACCAATAAATTCAATTGGTTTAATGTTTATGATTTGATTACAGGAAAGGTGATTATTATAGGTATCTTGCAGAGTTCAAATCTGGTAATGATAAGAAAGAAGCAGCTGATCAGTCTTTGAAAGCTTATCAAGTAATAAACTAATAATCTATATCCTGTTTTCTTAATACTTATTTATTTATTTATTTATTTATTTTCTTGATGTTTGTAGTTGGCTTCAACTACTTCAGAAGCTGATTTATCTCCTACTCACCCTATTCGATTGGGTTTGGCTTTGAACTTTTCAGTGTTTTATTATGAGATTATGAACTCTCCTGAAAGGTATATTGTTATTTTTCTTTAAACTTTTATTTGAATCTTGGATTTAGGGTTTTGAATTTTTTGTTTTTATAACGAATCAGGGCATGCCACCTGGCGAAACAAGCTTTTGATGAAGCTATATCAGAGCTTGATTCCCTGAGTGAAGAATCATACAAAGACAGCACTTTAATTATGCAGCTTCTGAGAGACAATCTCACTTTGTGGACTTCTGATATTCCTGAAGATGGAGGTAATTTTGAAATAATTTTCATATTCTTAAAATTAGAAAAAAAAATACTTTTATAAATCATAACACACATCTGTATTTTTATATCTACAGATGACCAAAAAATGGAAATCATCAAATCCGGTGGAGAAGATGCTGAGGTAAGCAATACTTAACCATTTAAATATTCTCTTTTTTAATTAAAATATTTAAAAAAAATGAAAAATGTAATTAGTAAATTGATATGTGCAGTAAATTTGTCTGCTTTGCATCGATTGGTGATGGGATTAAGAAAGAAAGTATGATGTAATTTTATTTTGTAAGTTTGAATTTGAAGAATTGTTTTTTTTAGGTTGTGTTTTTAAATGGTTTTTGAGTAGTTTATTCATTTAGACATTTATCTATATTAAGATTGATTGTTGTTTCATCTTAATGGTTCAGTTTGTGTCTTGATGATTTGCAAAGTTGGGTAAATTAAATTAAATTACGATGCCTGATTAATTAGGAAATGGTTGAATTAGTATCAAAAGATTTAATCATAAAGTATGATCATGAACTTTAATGAAACACCCTTGTGTATTTGGCTAAATTGACCGGTAGCTAGTTGTTTTTAATTTTGCTGAAGTGTTCAGAAAAAAAAAAGTTTTTTAGCGTTTAAATGTGTGAAATTAGATAAAAAACCAAAAGGTAAAAGCTACAAAAAAGCTAAAAAGTTATAAAAAGTAAGCTTTTGGATTAAGATTAAAGTGAAGAGCTTCTACTGTTGAATGAATTTTTTTTTCGATTTTTAGCCATGTTTCTAGACGTACTTGCATGACATTAGTTCATAACAGGGAAAATGACTTAAAGTGGTGACCAATAATATAAAATTTGTTCTTTAGGTCATTACATTTTTAATTGTATCCAATAAGGAAACTATTTTTTTTTAAAATACTAACGATTACGATTTTTATCGATTAAAATGACAACGAACAAATTTTGGGTTACTGGTTGCCATTTTAAGTCATTTTCCTTTTATAAAATGGCTTCTGCCTACTACAAAATTGAGTGTATTACTTGCTAAATGCATAATATGATTTCATAATATGACTTCTGTCTACTACAAATTGAATGTATTACTTGTTTAAGGCTGCTCTGTATGGGCAACCCTATTGAAAGTAGGGATGTCAAAAAGTCCTGTGGGACTCCGAACCCGTGGAGCCCCGATCCCGAATGTGGAATATTTGTTTAAAAAATCGGGGACGGGGATGGGGGCGGGGGCGGGGGCGGGGCGGGGGCAAGGTTAACCCCCGTTTTAATTTCGGGGGCGGGGCGGGGATATGTAGTTCCGTTAATATATATTATTTTTATTAATATATATTAATTATAAAAATATAATAAACAATAACAATCATGTTTTTAAGTTGTTTTTTTTGGAAACGACTTTTTAAGTTGTTAGTATAACGTTTTTGAGATGTTAATATTTTTATTTTAAACATATAAAATTATGCTATAAATAACTATTTTTACCCAAAATGTTTTCTTTTAGCTTAAAAAACACTTCTTTTAGTTGAAAGGGCCACATCAGCGTTTGCCCCCGTTGACATCCCTAGTTGAAAGGGCCACATCAGCGTAGAGAGAAGAAAGAGTTGAAGAGAGAAGAAAATGGCGTTACACGTTGTTATGGAGGCAACAGAGGGCAACAAAAACGAATATAACATACGAAAACGAAATAGGGGGGGGGGTGTTTTGGCGTGGTCACAACATTTTTGTAATGCCACCTCACAAAAACGAAGGTGGGTGTTGCCCACACCGAGCCCTCTAAACCAATTAAAGGAACAATTAAGGATTTAGTAAATTGATTAGCAATTGTCATCATAAACCTAACCGAATAGCATGAAAATTAAAAGAATCAAATCATGAAAGTGGAAATCATGCAAATTTAAGTGTATTAAATATATGTAACAATCTCACGATACAATCTTGTACATAGTTAAATCATCACACAAAATCCAATCATCAACATGGTGGTTTAGCTTGTTAGGACATTTGGACCTCGAAAACTACAATGTAACTAAGAGCATCTCCAATGGTTAATCTATGCTATCACTTAATATTTTTGCCACGTCATTAATCTAATATTTTGACCTCTAATTAATGGGCTCTCCAATGGTTAAGCTTTTTCCATAGGTTTTTTTTTTTTTTTTTTTTTTTTTTTTTTTTTTTTTTTTGTAAATTTAACTTATTATCCTTGTCTATCTAAAATGTTCATACAACCTCCTTATTTAATTAATAGTCTTTAAACATATTATACTTGAATAGGAAATATTTTAAATTAAGATTATCACTAAAAATTAGTATATAAACATTTAATAAATGAAAAACTATGGTAGAAATAATTAAATAAATAAAAAACATTTAAAACTACAATATAATTAAGGGGGTAAAAATAAAATATGTTAAAAATAGAAGGGGTTAGATGCTTAAAGCTTTATACTATATTGACCACTCAATATATATATATATATATATTGAGTGGTCAATATAAATACATAAAAAACAATCAACTTCAATGGTGTTAAATGGAAATAAGTGATGAATCAATAAAAAAAAACTCTAAAATAAGTCCTCATTGGAGATGCTCTAATAAGGAAGTGAACTTACCAACTTTTTTTTTTCTTCACCTTTTTTGCCATCCTATTATTGTCCAATATTGTCTATTGCTTCATTTTCCAAGTCTCTAGCACTCATACCCGTCATTTTTTCCTCTTTTTTTTTGTCCCACCTTCCATTTGACATGCATCAAATTCATGTCAACAAACATAAAATAACACATTGAATCCATGAAAATATGTGCAAACCCTATAGTGTCGTGAAATATGAGTTATATGATAGATATATACAAATGCAATGCAATACGATAGGAAACATGACAAACATATACATGACAATGGTGCAAATGTTTAGTCAGTTCTTGGCCAACCCTTGTTGTGATCATTACATGTAGGGGTGCAAACGAGTCAAGCTGCTCATGATCGGCTCGTTAAAAGATCGACTTGAAATCGATTTTAAACGAGTCTGAGCCGAACTCGAAATTAATATTAAGATCGTTTACTAAACGAGTTCGAGCCTATGTCACGAAGCTTGATTAGGTCCGCGAGCCTAAATGAGTCTATATATAATATAATTTATTATTTATTTTTATATATTAAAATAAAAACTATTCGGGGAATTAGGGTGTTAATAAATGAGTTTGTTAACCAACTTGAACCAAATTTAAGCTTATTTAGGCACATTAAACAAAAAACGAGCAAAACTCGAGCCCAAGCCAAACTTGTATAATTCTTTACGAGCTCGAGCCAAACTCAGTACAAGAAAACTCGAATCGAGCCGAGCACGAGCTGGAGCCTCGTATAACTTAAGCGAGTCTGAGGCTCAACTCGACTCTGGCTCAGGCTCAGGCGCCCGACTAGTTTGCAACCTTAATTACATGACACTAATACACATCCTACACTATCTTAAGAGGACATTGGTTCATAGTCTTAATTTCTCGTTTACTTCATCCTAAATCCTTTAAGGACAACCTAACACCGTTTAGGATGGAGACTTAACATGAATAGTTTCTTCCTTGCATGCTATTGTATATCTTCATTGACAACTCTATGAGTATTGAAGCATATATCAAGCTTTAACTATACTACTTAAGAGTTGATTCGTGCTCGTTGGCTTCCATTTATCATTGGGGCTCCCTATTCATCTCCTACTTCTCTATGAGTGTGACAATCAAAGTATTGTTTGGGTTACTCACAATAATGTTTTCCGTGATCACGACAAACACAAATAGATTGATTGTCATTTTGTTCAACATGAGGTTCGTAAGACGGTTCTTCTCCTTCGTATATCTACGATTGACTAGTTGGTCAACATATTCACCAAAACTCATATGTTCGATAATTTCAGAGTCATGGCTCTCAAACTTAACATGTTATCCCCGACTTGAGATATATATATATATATATATATATATATATATATATATATATATATATATATATAGAGAGAGAGAGAGAGAGAGAGAGAGAGAGAGAGAGTAGTGTAAATATCAATAATATAAGGACCGTTTTTTTGTTTTTCAGTCTTTCTCTTATTTAATTATGTTTATTCCCCTTTAAAAATATATATATATTTTTTCAAAGTAGCTAACACACACCCACTATTCTATTTGAACCATTAACCTTTGGTTGAAGGACATCTATTTGTCAACCTCCGATTATAGGCGGACCTTAGTGGGAGCCAGGGATAGCCCGTACTGCTCCTCAAATTTTTTGGTACAATGATTTTTTTTTTTGATTTTTTTTGGTGTAGTGCAAATTTTCTAGTATGCTATCCCTAAAATTTATGTGTGCTATCCTTCTGGGTCCACTACTACCTCCGATGTCGTTATGCCAAAGTCTCTTTGGTACGTTATAATCTTTTAGGTTTGTTCAATACAAAATCAAGCCTCTTGCTTCAGAACCTTCTCTCAACATCTCAATTCACAATCAATTATTGAATCCTATCAAATATGAGACACTCATCATAATTTTGTAGTGGTGGATACGCAATGCAATGGTAGGTTTTACAATGTCATTTGATTGAAAAGCATTTCCTTAAAAAATCGACAATGGTGATGGGTTCCAAAAGGATAACCAAAAGACCAAGTTTTTTTTTTTTTTTTTTTCCTAAAATTAGTATTTTTGGTATCTTTGGATGGAGATGGGTTGTGGTTTTGATTCATTTCATTATTTTCCAAACTTATTATTAAAAGTTTTGGCAAAAATAGAGTTTGCTTGTCGATGTAGTTAACTTAGAGTTTGCTTTGTCGATGTAGTCAACTTAAACGGACTCTTATATTGGTGGCGAAAATGAAAAATATATATATAAAAAGAATTGAAGATTAAAATCGGTCAAAAGTAGTTGAACATATATTTAAATATACAAACATTATAAATTGGTTATTAAAATTATAATAGCTTTTGTAATGATATTAAAAAGCCAAATAATCCATCTTAATTAAAGAAAAATACAAATGAAGAACTTAATAAATTAAAGAGTAAATCACACATAAAATCAGTCTATCTTCATTTTAAAGAATATATTTACAAAAATCAATATTTATTTATATATATTTTTACAAGGAAGTTGGTTAATTACTAACACGTCAATATTTATTTTATAGATATAAGATATCATATAAGATTATAAAGATATAGTATAGTACTTTAAATATTAAGTTTGAAATATACACAAAATGAGAGACATAACTCAATTGGTTCCGATGTGAGGTTTTAAAATTTGAACGAATAACACATCTAGTTCGAGTCTAGTAATCGCGATGTGAGGGGTTCCTCTGTCACATGATACTCCTTTGGCGTAAGTAGGCATGACCCGATTAGATTTGGTAGATATTTACCTTTTGAGATATTCTTTATAATATTTGATTGCATATA